GTCAGTCTCGGCCACCGGCTGCCTAGGGACGCTGCTCCAGGACGCAGCTCAAGGGGGCATTGCACTGACACGCCCGGGACCTTTCAGGTTGAGAGAGTCAGGCCGGCCCACGTTTCGGGGTTCCCCCTTGCCCTCTGTCCCAGGGCCTCAGCTCTTGTTGCCCGTGTCACCTTCAGCAGTCGCCACAGGAGGTGGGAGTGTGAGGCCCACAAGGGGCTGGGCCACCTCTGCCTGCACTCTTCCCCAGTTCCTTGGCCTGTGTGTGTGTTCAGGCATGTGGTGTGTGCATGTGCATGTGTGTATATGGTGTGTACACGGTGTAAGTGCACATGTGTGCACGTGTGGTGTTCTTGTGCACGTGTGATGTATGTGTGCGTGTGTGGTGTGTGCGTGTGATGTATGTGCTGGTGTGCTTGTGTGCTGTATGTGTGCATGTGCAGGTGTGTTGTGTGCATGTGTGTGTGAGATCCTTTTGTACCTCACCCGTTGGCCCAAGCCTCACACTCCTCTAGTACATCCATCCCAGATGGGCAGGCTCATCTGAGCTGGGATCAAACTCACCGTCTGGACCCCAGCACCAGAACTCGTGGGAGGCGTTGTTCTCAGGAGTGAGGTCGAGCTGTGAGCCATGGCTACCCCCGAGCCCCAGGCCCCTGGAGAAGTCACCCAGCAGGGAACATAGTGGGGCGAGGCAGCTATCAGGCTGTGCGGGCCTGGAGGCGCAAGGCGAGGGGCTAGCTGTCATTCTGCCTAAACCCCAGAGTGGGGCCAGGGCCCGTGGAGAGGAAGCCCCACGGCTGCGGTCCTGGGGGTGCACCTGGTGAGGTGGGACATGCGTTGCACGTCTCTGCCCCTCCAGGCTCTATGCCAGACCCCCCCACTTTCTGGACTGCAGTGGCTCTTTGTCTCTTCCGAGAGAGGCTCATGCTCCAACCACTTAAACACGGTGATCCTGTGGCAACCACACCCACATCAGGGAGGGCCATTTTATTTCTGTTCTCCGAGAGACAGCCGTCTGGTCGAGAGCCACTGCTGACTCATCCCAGTTACTAAGTGTTTTAAAGAGTTACATCCGTAAAGTGATCACCGAGTGCATGCAGGTGTCCCAGGCGGCTGGTACCCGTGGGCACAGCTCCCGCTGTCCCTGCCATGGGCCTTACTCCCCAGGCCCCAGAGATGATGGGTGGGGACACAGAGTGGCCGGGGCCAAGGTGCAGGCGCTTGGAACGCAGTGCGGTCCCCAAGGCGTGCACAGTGCGCTGGCGGGGACACCTCTCTGGCCTGGCTCTCAGAGGCTGCTCTGTCCGACCCCGACCCCCTCCTCCCCTCCACGGGTCTTACGCTTCCTACTTTGGAGTCTGAATGTCGGGTGGCTGCGTGAGTCGGTATCCACGTCAGGTGCCACTCTGCGGGGTGACGTCTTCCAGGACAGGTTGTGAGTCAGAGGCCGAGACTGGAGCGGCCCGGAGGTGCGTAAACGAGTAGATGTCCTTGGGCGCCAAGGACACTCTCCCCCGCTATGATCAGTTTCTTTGGGGAAAAGTCATTGTAGAAAGAACAAAATGTGAAACTTGGCGGAGTTGGTTTTTTACGGCTGCTGCTCTTAGCAGGTTAGATGCAGCTACGATTGGACGATCTTGTTCAAGGCTAAGCAAACGGCGCGGGCTGGTCCGAGGTAGATTTCGTTGACGTTATTATTGACGGTAGTACTTACAGCCTGTCGTGCCGAGTGTGTCATGAGTAGCCCGCACACATTTTGAGGCCAGCTCCGTCTTTCAACTCAGAATCCGAGGGCAGAGGTTCAATCGCTGGCCCGCGTCACTCGCTGGTGAGGGCCCCGGAGCTCAACCTGGGCAGCCGGGCTCTGGTGTCTCTCTCGGGGGATCAATGGACGGGTCAGACCTCCACGGGCAGGCAGCGCAGATGTGGAGGTGAATGAAGGGCGACACCAGGAGACGAAGATGTGAGGAAGTGGAGTGCTGCTGGGGATCCCAGAATGTGGCCCCGGGCCCGCCGAGGACAGGAGGACGGGAATGTGTCCCTGAGTATGGCAGGAGTGGCTCCTGGGGGAATTCAGGGCCACCTTCCCCTTCGCTGTAGGGTGGCCTTTCGGGGAACAGAGAGAATCTGGGGAAACTGCTGTTGTTTGGAAACAACATGATTGTTTTGTGAGAAAAACACTGAAAAATGCATTTTCTAAAGTAAAAACAATTTACAAGATACAGCAGAGTCCAAAGAAGATATTTACAGATGCCCCTGAAGCCCCCCGCCCAGAACTGAGTGTGGCTCGCACCCGGCGCCCCCCGCCCCCAGCCACCTATAACAGGTGGTCCTGCCAGGTGCTCCAGCTCTGAGGTCAGGTGCACCCAGCCCAGCGAGCTCACCTGCAACAGCAGGAGGCCGCCCCGCCAGGATCCAGACCCAGGAGTTTGCACAGGCGAGGGCTTGGTGCTCGGAGTGTGTGCCGCCCACGGCACAGAGCGTGAGCTCCCCTGACTTGCTTTACGCGGATAAGCTTCCGTGTAAGTGCTGTTTCACCGGCTCCTCTTTGCACTGAATAATATCTTGTGTTCCTCTGTCCTTGTCAGTAAACACTGACTGTGTGGTTTGTGCTGCCTGCAGCGCGTGCTCTGATATTATTGTTTATTTAGCCAGTTCCTGACGCGTGCACACTTAGATTGTAAATCTTTGCTGTTGAAGCGACAGACGAGGAGATAAACATTCTTGGGCCGGCATCCTTTTGAACTTGTGGGATCGCTGAGGTGGAGCAAACGCACGTGGCGGAGCTGGTCTGACTTCTCCAGAAAGCCAGGCCCGCCTCCACCCTCACCAGTGAGCGATAACTTTTGGGTGTCCTCCTCTGGGTCCTGGGCCCTGCTGCTGGCTGGGTGACGGCTTTTGCCCGGGGCGGCAGACGCCCCAGGGAGGCAGTAAATTGTTTCCCACTGCAGATTGACGGGCCTCTTACCTGCTGACAGTGGGGTCCACGAAGGTGTGTGTGTGAGGGGGCTGCCTAGCATGGCGTGCCTCCGCTTTTCCAGCGTAGAAGAGAGACAGCCCCAGGGGTCCTGCAGGGCGGGGGGCTGGGGAGCTGAGCAGCCTGGGCAAGCTGGGGCCGGCGCTTCGAGTTTCCCGTCTGCAAGTTGGGAAATTATTGCGAGAAAATCCTTCCAGTTCTGAAATTTTGTGCTGTATGTTCTTGCCTCTGAGTAATCTCCCTCCCTGTGGCTGAAATGTTTCTAGAACCTTCTGTCACCTGAGGACACTTTGGGTGTGATTGGCATGCTGGGCCTGGGGCCTGTCCTGGGCAGCCAGGCTGGGGACCCTCTCCTCCTGCGAAGCCTCTGCTCGGTGTTCCCCTGTGACCACGGGTCAGGGTGAAGCTGCGGTTTTGGAAACTGTGGTACGAGTTTTGTAGTTGCCGAGTTTTTAATGAGGTTTTGCCATCGTTTGAGCTTTCAGACGCCGCATCTGAGACAGCTTGACATTGAACAGAGACCCGGGAGCCACATACTGCTGAGCATGAAACCAGTCTCTTCATTCACCGTGTGGACTTCAGTTTGTGTGAATGATTTCATTTCATTTTTATGCTTTTTATTTAAAACCAGCAGGAAAGAGTGAGTCTCGTGCACTCTTGGCTGACCTAATTAGCAACGGGCATCTTTTTGGAAGGCTTGCGTCCCGGACTTCCCTGAGGAGTAGCGTTGCCTGGAGGCCAGGACACATCCAAGGGCCTGGAGATTCCGATGCGGCCACTGTCGCTCAGAACCCGTCCTTTGTAAAGAGTTGCTGGACTCTAACTTGGAGCAAGTTTGAGATTTTGATGAGAAACTGGATTTAAGCGAGCGCGCTTACGCCCAGGTGTGTTTACTAACTTGATGGGGTCCACCTGGGTCTACCCATAAGCGAGGAAATTTGACTTTCGGGCCCCAGGGAGCCTCCAGATGGTGTTGGGGGACAGGCTGGGGTCCGACGGTGAATCGGAAGATTCCAGGCCATGGTGTTCTTATCTGCAGAACAGGGATAATGATGGTTCCTGGCGCATCGAGTTGCTGGAAGGATCCGTGAGAGGCCAGCACAGCCCTGTGTCCTTGGGTGACCTGGCTCACTCCTTCCCAGCCAGGAAGGCTCTTGCTGGGATGATGGGGAAGTTGATGCCCCAGATGCGTCTCCTTGGCCTCCCACAGGCGAGGAGTGAGGCTAAGACAAGGCAGCCGGAGGGTGAGGGGGAGGCTGCTGGCAGGGAGGGAGGGTGGGGAGCTGGCCCACAGCGGGGCTGCCTCCAGTGGGGCAACAGGTGATCAGGTGCCTGGTGGGTGAACATCGTGGGAGAAGGAGCCCGGCTGCCCTGGCGGTCGGTGCTCCAGGACGCGGTGCTTCCTGGGCCTGAGATGGGGCGACTTCCCCCCGGGCCCCTGCACATCCCCTCCTTGCCCCTCCCCCAGGCTCGCATCAGCTTCCGGACCCAGAGCTGAGTAGAGGTTCCCCGGAGGCAGGAGGGACGTGGACAGGAGGTGGGTGGGGAGGGGCTGAGGCAGCGCTGAGGGACGCCGTGTGGGCTACCCACAAGGTCCAAGGTGAGGAGGACGCACATTCTGCTTTCCCTGGTCCCCACGGTCAGCCTGGGTCCACCTGGTTTTCTGCTCTCCTAGGAGGCACTTCCTCTCTGGGGGTGCCCACCACCCCCCACCTGGAGGTAGGGCTGTGTGAGTGTTGTCAGGTCGCGTCCCAGTGCAGGGGAGAGGTCCTGGTGGAGGTGGAGGGCCAAGCAGGGGCTGGGAGCTGTCTGTGCCTCAGTTTCCTCCTGTCTGAACTGGAGGCCAGCGCCTCAGGGGCCCTGAGGATTCGCCCCCTCAACGTCTGTGCAGCACTGAGAGCCGCACCTGGCCGAGGATGCCCACCCTCTCCTCTGCTGCCCGTGCCCACCTTGCCGTGCCTGCACTTGGCCCTCAGCGGGCACTCGCAGGCCTGACCTGTGTCCCTCACTGTGTCTGGCACACAGCGGCTCAGGGGTCCCCAGCAGGCACGTGGCTGGGTGGCACCGGGCCGCAGGGGGTGTGGAGCCCAGAGGGAAGCAGGGCGGCGCCATCCTGAACCTGTGCTCCAGGAGGGTAGGAAGCGACTTCGCAGGAAACGGTGTCCTCACCACCCCGGTGGCCGCCTAGACCACGTCCCTCTGTGTGGTCACCGGGAAAGCAGAAGTGCCCGGCTGAGGCCTGGCCGGTGGCGGGCTTTGCAGGTGAGGGAGGGGCGCGTTCCCAGGACCAGAGCCCAGGCCGTGTCTGTCTGAGGTCAGCCCGCCGTGCACTCCCCGGCCGCAAGGGGCGGCACCCACCCCAGCAGCAGACCCCCCACAGGTGCGCGTTTGCCCCTAAGAGTTCTCACTCTGAGTCCCAGCCTGAGGAAAGGTGGGAGTTGGGGTGGAGACCCCCCACCAGCCCTGTCCTTGGGAGCGGTGGTTACCAGGGACCCACGGGACACCAGGGGCCTGGCCTGCATTGCCCGTGGACTGCGTGCTCTTGGGAGGCCCAGGCTCTTCTCGGGGCTGCGGTTGGTGTTACAAGGGCATGCCCAAATGGGAGGGTCAGTTATGTTTCTGTGGCTGGACGCACCCATGGGCACCTGCAGGGAGAGGGTGCCCGGGAGCTGGTGGGGCGGGGTGCTCCTGGTGGGGTGGCACAGCCACCTGGCAACGCTCCAGGTCCAGTTCTGCAGGAAACGAAGCGCCAGTGGGGCTGTTTGATCTGTGTCGACACACACCCTGTTTTCTGTCAGCTGAGTTAAGTCTGACGGTCAGAAAAGAGATTGGTGAAGCACAATTACATTTCCTCAGTCTTCAAAAACGCACGTGTCCTACGAGACAGGGTCCTAAAATGTGGGAGTACTGAGCCCTTCCCTCTGGCTGGCAGTCCTAGCACCCACGTTTGTCGTCCCCTCTGTCCCTGTGTCCTTTCCCCACGTGCCCTGTCGCTGGGCGCAGACACCAGTGTGTGCGAGGTGGCGAGTGTGTGCAGCGCCCGAGGCCTTTCCCTGGGGGGCGCTTGGTGTGCCCATGACCCAGCCGAGGCAGGCACCTTCCTCCTGTACCGTCGCCAGCGGAGCCGAGTCATTCTGGGCCACAACACTGTCCTCTGCGGGACGGGGTGGCAGGGCCCTGGTGGGGCAGAGGGGGCAGCCTCGCTTATGGTGGGGTGAGAGTGTTCTGGAACCTCTTAGATTTTTCAGCTGACTTTGGTTCCCGGGAACTGTGAGGACGGACCTCCTGGCTGGAGCTGAGGAGCCCCCTCTGCCTCCGTTGGCGCTCGGTGCCTGCCCTGCTCCCTCGCGTGGTCCTGCAGGGGGCGCCTCTCCAGGGCGGCAGGGCACAGAGGGAGGGCCGCTTCATCCCTCGGCGGGGCTCTCCCACCGGGAGGTGACCGTGTGACGGCGCCACGCCAGCTGCCTCTCTTCTGTCTCACACGTCCCGAATCATCTAGAGGGTGACTCAGGCTCAGAGGGGGAAGCGCCACCCACTCAGGACAGTGCGCCCTGCTGGAAGGACAGGCCTTCTTGGGCCCTGGGACCATCAGGCGAGGCTCCAGGAGCAGGTTGTAGGTGAGCGGGACCGGGTCCCTTGAGCAGTGGCTTGTGAAGCGGGGAGGATCTGTTCCCCGTGTGGAGGCTACAGAGTGAATTCCCAGAATCCGGGGAGCTCTGCGTTACTTCCAGTGGGTCACTGCCTCTAAGCTTCGCTTCACTTGGGGTGTGCAGCAGAGGTTGCTCCAGGCCCCTTCCCGCCGTCTCGAGGGGCACAGGCACTTGACTCTTCCGCTACAGCCATCTCGCCCCGGATTACACCCCCCCACCCCGAGATGGCGTGTCTTCCCTCTGACCTTGGCAGCTTCTGGGGTCTGAGACTCGAGGCTGAGACCACATCACGTTAGGTCATCCCCTCTCCCATCACTCTGGAGAGGAGTGGGGGAGCACAGCAGCTTGGCCTGGAAGCATCTGGAAGGCGGGAGAACCGCAGAGTAGGCTGATGGGAGGATGAATCAGGTCCAGTACAGGGTTTGTAGCATCCTGCTCGAAGGTCACTCGGTGGCAGTGCTCACGTTGGGTCACACCTCTGCTGGGTATTTGGAAAGGAGAGACACTTGAAGTTCTGCTCATGAACCCACGTGTAGATGGCTGGACAGTGAGTCTCTAAGCAGCAGAGGAAATCCTGGTGCTTCCTGGTTAGGGAGCGGCTGGGACCTTCCCAGACCTCAGGTGGGGCCGGCGGTTTTGCTCCCTCCTCCTCACAGCTAGGCGTGTGGTTGTCCTTCGTCCGGTTCTGAGTGCTCTTGGGAAGCCGGTCCACCCGCCCAGTGGCTGCAGGGTCCGCTGTTGACAGGGTGTGGGTTGAACATGGCTCAGAGGCGGCAGAGTCTCAAAATAACAGGCCTTGCTGGCAAGTGCTCAGCTGATCGCAGGGGCTGAGTTGGCATTCCTGGAGGCACCTTCGAAGGGACGCAGAAGCGGGTGAATCAGAACGAAAGGTTTGTGTGTGCAGTGTGTGCACAAGATAGTGAGAGGAAGTCTAAAGTCGTTGCTGAGGTGGGTTCGGCGGCCTGAGGTGATGGAAGGGTGCACGTTCCCTGTGTCCTGCCAGGAGCGAGGATCATGTGGATTCTCCAGTGGGCTTTGCCAGTTCGGGAGCGAAGGCCGCGTCGCAGGAGGGAGGCTGATTGCAAGGACAGGCCCTTGTGTTGGCTCTGGCCTTGGCTGACTCAAGTTGAATGACGGCCTGTGGTCGAACTGGCCTAACTTTGTAATTCTGCTCTATATTTTTAAGGAATCACTAAATGAAGGCAAAGAGGGTAGCATTTTGTGGTTGTGAGACTTAAAAAAGGAATCCCCGCTCTGACCTGGGCTTGTCGAGGCTCCTAAGTCATCCCTCTGGCCTGGCCAAGAGGAGAGGCTCCCTCGTCCCCCTGTAGGAGAGGCTGGGTCTGGGGGCCGTGCCCGGGGCAGGAGGAGTCTGGTTCCCTGGTGAAACTGCGCGTGCTCCCCTGTGGACACTCGGTGGGGGCCGTGAGCACCTGGAGGAGCGGGACGCTGCCTCACGCGGTCCAGAGCGAAGTCCTGAGCCAGCCCTGGATTCTGGATGGTTCTGGACAGATTCTTCACCACCAGGCAAACGGCAGAGAGGAGGAACCACCACTTCTAAAGCTCCTGCTGTGGGGCCGGGACACCCCTCGTCTCTGCCCTGAGTTCCTGGTGGGGGCGCTGCGGCTCAGGGGCGGAAGGGACGTAAGCTGAGAACTGGAGACAGAAGGCTTCTGCAGAGAGTGGTTTCTAGTTGTGCTCGCTGCGTCCTGCCCACCCCATCCCCAGTGCATGGCCAGTTCCGGAGCCCGGGGTGTGCAACAAGGCCTGCAGGCCGTGCAGACCCCGAGGGTGGGGGTCCCGGCTTTGATCGTGGCTCCACACAGTCATTGCATTTTGTGAGTCTGCTTCTTCTCCGTGGCAGCCGTGCGTAAAACCCGTCTCACCGGGGCTCTAAGGATCCCGGGGCACCCTGCGGGGGGTGTCGTTACTCCTGCTCTCCGAGGCGGCAGGGGGCCCCACGGCTGGTACTCCACTGTCGGTGCAGCAGGGCTGTGGCCCTTGGTGGCCGAGGCTCCTGCCCCACGAGGGATTCCTTCAGATGCCTGGCGTTCGAGGTCGGGCGTGTGCAGCCCCGGGGAGGGGGACACGCGTGACGTCAGTGACCCCCCATCTTGTGGCCGTAACGCCCTGGGTCGCTCGCTGGGTGGGCTGAGTGCAGCACAGCCTGGTAGAAGGCCGGTTGTGGGCGATGCGGGCAGGACCCGGGAGGACTGCCTGCTTGGTTCTTGCAAATGGTCACATTCTCGCCTTCACCTTTTGGAGGCACGGTCATTATTCTTAAACTTTTTCACGAGACCCAGCACGTGAGGGTGGCTGAGTCCAGGCCCCGTTATCTGCGGGCGGTTTCGAGACTGCCCTGGCCCTCAAGCTGAGCCTCAGTGATGACCAGGATTCTGGCGGGTGGGGGTGACGGGGGCGTCCCAGTGGAGACACAGCCAGGGTGTGAGGAGCAGGAGGGCAGGGTGACACTGAGAAAGGCAGGTGGTCCGGGGGGCTTATGCCGGTCCTCAATCCTGGCTGCCTGCCCAGGGGCCCCGCCATCACACCCACCCAGGGCGCAGGGGAGTACTCCCCAGGAGGTCTGGGCCACTGTGTGCCCTCAGAGCGCCAGAGGAAGGGTGGACGGCAGGTGGGGGAGAGGGGTGTGGGGAGCCCTAGGGGTGGGCCTGCCTGTTACACACTTTGGGCAGAGGGCAGATGTCGTTCTGGGGCGGCTGAGTGGGGGCTCTGAAAGAAAGGGCTTGAGCGAGTTTGGGGTCAGAGAACATACCCAAGTTCAAGCCGTGTCAGGCTCATGGACCAGCAGGTGGTCGTAAAGCTCATGGTCGTGGCCACGGGTGTGAGAAGGAGAAGCTTTGAGTCACAGTGTCAGAGCCAGCGTGGGGACTGGTGTTGGCTGAGAGAACCCGCTTCTCTCCCCGAGCTCGTTTCTGTTGGGTGTGGCTGGGTGTGGCCCTGAGTCTGGCTGCACCTTCCCTGCGCTGGGGAGTGTCCCACCTGTCTCACCAGGGCACAGGGCTGTTTTGTGTTGCTGTGTTAACATTTTATTTAAGTTCACTTTTGCAGCACGTGTATGTGCTTTACAAGTCCTCGTTCACGCAGCTTCATCCCTAGAGGTGGGGCTGCATCATACTCAGTCCCAGGGGAGTGGCTGACAGAAGTGGAGTAGCTGGGGGAGGCGGAGGGGCTGGGGAGTAGCTGGGGGAGGCGGAGGGGCTGAGGGAGTAGCTGGGGCAGGCGGAGGGGCTGAGGGAGTAGCTGGGGGAGGCGGAGGGGCTGAGGGAGTAGCTGGGGGAGGCGGAGGGGCTGGGGAGTAGCTGGGGGAGGCGGAGGGGCTGTGACCTGTTAAAGTAGCTGGGGGAGGCGGAGGGGCTGTGACCTGTTCCAGGTCACAGCCGGGAAATGGTGGCTCTGGATCTGGACCCCGCAGGCTGGCCTTGGAGCCTGCGTCAGGCTGCCACTCTTATCTGCCTCCCCTGTTGGGGGCAGAATAAATACCAACTGAATTAAGATGTCTAATTGGCTTGAAAGAAGTATAACAAATGTGCTAGGTGACTTGACAGTGTTTTATAGCAGAGAACGTATGCCTTTTAAAAAATAGCTCCACTAACTGGAAAAACTCTGAGGAGAGTTGCGTGAAAATAAGTCATGGAAACGATATTTCCCAGTAGGAGGAAGCAGACCTGTCAGTGTGATGAGTAAGTGTGATGAGTAAGTGTCCCGAGCCTGTTTCCTGCCCGTAGATATGTAAGGACAGAGCCTATGACCATCTAGCAGTGTCCTTTATTTGGCACCCAGACCTCTGCAAATAGGCTCTGCCTTCTAGACAGAAGAGCTTCTTGGTCAAGTTT